TTGTTCTTTGTGATATATATATATATATATATATATATATAGTGTTTTTAATATTTCATTATGGAGTGTTTATTGTACCATATGAGCCACAAAATAGTTTTCTTAAACCACCATAAGAAATTTTAGGCAAATTTTAAAAATAACTAAGTAAGAGACATCCGGATTTGGTTTATAATATGCTCGATCTGCTTGTCATCAATGTCTGTGATATGGTACAGAGGAATAGCAAATTTCTGAAATCGTCGACCTTTCGATGATCTCAAGGGTTACTTGATTTCAGCGGTGGTTTGGCAGGTTATTTTCTTAAACTTAGGCATCAAATGAAAATTGCAACAAAAAAAAACCTATAAAACTCACAAATTTCCTTTGAACCGCAATAAGGTTCAGATTACTCGAGTATTACACCTTGATAGCCAATTTAACTCCCTTGTTAACCATTTAAATCCCGTATTTAAGACATTTTCACTAAAAAAAATTCAACAAGTAAAAGTGCACATGCTCAACAAAAATAATTATACCAATCTTCCTACCAAATTTTAGCTGAATCTCGCCAACGGTTTTAATATAGCTTAATAATTGTAACCATATATGTATTTCTGTAATAAAATAGTTTTTCACACAACTTTTGCTTATAAAACTATCGTTTCTGATATTAAATAGTAGTTTTCTGAACATCCTGTTTTGCTGCATGTTAGAATTCCAGATATTTATCTTCAATTAAATAAGTTTTAACGAAATTAGATAGCAGGAACTCTAACGTTATTCAAAGAAATAGCAATGATAAATACAGACATTTTTTCAAAATGATTTTATTATTCAAAAATAAGCATTAATCAACAACTTTAAAAAAATACAGTATAATGTCGATGAATATTGTGAAATATTTTTATAAAGAGTCATTTTCTAAGTCGATTACTCGATTGAAAAGTGATGGACCTCAGATGATATTGAAGCAACTATACATTAAATGTGTGAAGTTTCATAAAGTTTTAGAAATATAACTTGTATACAAACATGGAAATAGAAAATTTCTCTCGCATAAAACCTTTAATGTTATTGTTTTTAAAAGTTATCCGAATTCTTCCGCGAGAATTTTAAAAAAATAGGTCATGAAAAATAGTTCACAGTTACATTTAATATTCTTCTCAGGAACAATTTGTTATGATGAAACTTTTCTTTACAACTAATAGACACTTTGAACAATCACAAAGAGCAAGAATGGGTGTTTACTTTCAAAATGTGAATAATATTGTACTCATTTCTGATTTTACGTTTAGAGTCCATTCAATCATTTCTTAATTATATTCATGGTATTCTTTTCTTTGTAACCAAATTACTTTCATATTTAAAGCCTTTACGCTTTCTCCGAGTCATTCAAACTCTTTGTACAGCGGCAGACAGGCCGTGGTAAAATGTATTGAACTGCTGAACAATAGTAGCTCTAAAAAAACAAAGTGAAATTAGGTAAGAATGCGAAAAATTTTAAAATTACATAACAGTAGAAAAAAATACATTTCAGAATTTCGCAAGAGTTGAAGTAATTGCACAGTTTCGTATTATTACTATTTACCAAAAATATTAATTTTTTATGACTTGTTTGAAAAAGCTATTAACTAACTTAGAATGTAGCCTACTTTCAAAAACGGGTATCTATATAAAGAAAAAAAAATTTTCGTCAATAACTTGGCACTAATTGGAAAAAATTTAATTAATATGCAAAAAAAGTGTTTATAGAATTATTTCGTTCGTTTGCTTTTAAATAGTCTCAATTAATTATTTAAAACAAAAAGCTTTTTCGAGGCAGCTTTTCGAAGGCTCTGTAATTGAAATTGGGTATTTGCCCTTTAAGCAGATCACTGATACCCACACATGTGACCAATGACGTCAGCTGTATTCTCTTTCTTTTCTTTTTTATAACCGTCGTTGAACAGCCGACCCAATTTGGGTTTACGACTACTAATGTTAAACTCCGTAGCTTTTTTTGAACCCAATCCAGAAGACAAGGGAACTCCTGAATCAAGTATTGGGAGAAATTTGCCTTCGTGGAGGACTTTTTTGATGGAGTTAACCAGCATTTGCGTTACATGCAGAGGAAGACTACGAGAACCTCCCACGGTTTGCCTGACGGCAAGGGGACTCTAACCCATGATCCGTCTACCACTGAGGATAATTGACGTCAGCACTGTGGTCGGTGCAAGCCGGATGCGGAATTCGTATCAACCAGCCATCGCCATGATCGAACCCCAATTCACCTCATTGGAAGGCGAACGATTTATCTCCTGAGCCATCGCGGCTCGTTAAAGTTGAGCTGCGTTTCTCCACACAAGTTACAATGGTAATTAACGTGAAGTTAATTAAATACAGCGGCACATTACGCAACAAATTTGTTGAAATATAATTCTTTCTTATCTACGTCTTGCACTTAGATTTATTATTTGTTTATGCATTTTATTGTAACCGTGATATATTTTTGCTTTCCATACCTGGAAAATTTGATGCCTAATTGCTTTATATTCCACGTGTCTTCGAGTCTCTCTTTGTGTTAAGTAAAAAAATATATAAAGAATATGGCCTATATATCCTATAATATGGTCTATAAATATTGTGGAAGAATATAGCATGTGTCATTTAAGGGAATAGATGCTTGACGAGATTGGCTTACTCGAAATAGAATGGAAAGAACAGTTGTTAGCGTAAGCAAATGCCACGTTTCAACAACCAATCAGGATCGAGATACCCACACTACGTCACTCGCAGGTATTCTATTAAGCTTTTTGTGAATAATATCCCATTTTCATAACTTATCTGAATTGGCAACAGTTACTCATAACTGTTAGGTTTAGTTTAACCTATATTTTAGCCAGCGCCCTCTATGTTTATACTGAAAAAGGCATAAAATGTCAATCCGGAAAAATCGCAGTTTTGAAGAAATGAAAAGAGTTTGTTGCCTAATTTTTAATATTTAAAAACTTACTCTAATGCTGCATTATGTGGACAAATGAAAATTTGCAAAAGATGGGAAAAAGGCATTGATTTTAATACAGTCATACAGGTGGAAAAATTTTGCAAAATATTTGATTTTTTAAAGAATTCAGTAACTTTTAAATCTTTTATTTATTTGTTAGTTCTAACGCCCAGGTAACTATTTATAGCAAGATGGCAAATATGGTATTAAATTATAGCTTTGCTTTAAGTCTGGGGCAATTAAACTTTGGAATTTATTTCCTTGGTGAAAGAGCTTCGAAAAACGGTGTTAATTAAAAAATAATAATAACTTAATAGTACGGACATTGAAAGAAAGTATTATACAAGATGTTCTGTCAGGAGAGCTCTTACTATACCTTTTATAGAATCCTTTCGAAACATTTAATCAAAACCTATGTAGATTAAGGGTCACAAGTGAATATTCACGTGATTTCACGTGAATCTTTCTTCTAACTCTGACCAAATATTGCCCGGCTCGATAAAGTAACAGAAAGAAAAAATTTATAACAGTTTATGGGTCTCATGGGATTGGAATGGGTTTGCTTTTCATTAACAACTCTCAAACTTCATTCTCAAATTAACAGCTTTTAGATGATTTTAATCCCTTCGCTGCATTAATCAATCTTCGTATTAATTCGTCAGAGACTAAACAAATTTATTTTCTCATTTAAGTATTATTAAGCGACCCCTCATATGCATTGTTTTTTGACAAGATTCCTAAAAGTATTACGATGATCATCCCTAAATATGCTTCCTTTGGATAAGATTAAAAAATATCTACGTGACGTTTTTTGAATGAATAAATAAGTTTTAAAAAAACGGAGTTTTGACAAATAGATTAATATTTATGGTTAATTAATTTCTCTAAATGTGTACAAAACACTTAAAACGTTGATTTTAAAAACCACCATGCCTTACATACTACGTAAAAATTAATTTTACAAAGTCTTCGAAAGATAAATTAGTTTTTAAAAAAAAGGACAAGAATCATTGTTGAAGAATCAAAATGATTTAAAAAATTTTCGTTTTATTCTAACTACTTCCGTCAGTTTTGAATGAATAATATTCGGTAGAGACAAGCCACGGCAAAATGCTGAGCTTAGTGAGAGAGAGGTCATGCGTATTATAAGCGAGGTGAATTTTTCCCCAAAGTTAAGCGAAAGATGAATTTTGGTGATGTGTTTTTAACTGAAAAACTACATATCTTTAAAATAATGTTTAAGCTCAATAATAATAATCCTTTGTATATCTCTCAAACGTTGCTTTAAATTTTTTTACAAAATTTTAATGTACAAGGTTGTAATCAAGTTTTTAGTACTCTTGCACTCAGAATCATTCGGTAACAAAGCAATATTTTGATATATTTAAACTAAAAATAATGCGTAACAAACATTATAAAATATTTTCCACCAAAAGAAACTAGTAATAAGCAGATTTACCTGAATCGAACATTTCCAGAGTCCTGGGGTGCAACCCAAACAAGCGTGGCAGATTTTTTATCTCTGTTGTCAGCATGAGACATACTGGAACATTCAGTTATTTTTTTCAGTCCTGTACCTTCAAGAAAGTCTCCGATAGTGCTGTTAGATCGAGGATCGTAGGCTTGCACCATCATGCCTTTGAAGGGTGTTCCAGGTGGAGCCTGAACGTAGACTGAAACAAACATTATATATATATATATATATATATATA